ACAAGACAAGCATTCTCAAAGCCATCTAAAGATCCATGACCACCCTCAAACTCCAGTGCGTTCTGCAATTCATCATCAAGCTCCTCTAGTCCATCTGATTCTCCAATACCAGGGAAATCCGGATTCTGTGGCGGGTCAGCTGGCATGGCTGATGAACTAAGACTGGAATTGTTGACGCGAGACCTTTTGGCAGGCGATGGAGAAGGCGTATCCAGCTCGATGGTGTCAATGCGCTGGCTTTTGAGCTCCTTGAATTTGGAATCCACTTTTTCCTGCTTGATCTTCATGCTCATCTCATCCGGAGGCAGCAAACGCGGTGCTTGTTGGGTCTCAACTAGCTCACCACCAAACAATCCACGACCGCGAATGGTGATGGTGCGTGGGACCTGTTCTCCGCGAAGCAAGCGGGCAAGAAGTTCTTGGGACCAAATTGAATCAGCATGAAAAGACTCTGGGAGTTCATGGGCCTGCGGATTGCGTTTGTACGCCCTAAAGATTGGCCGTTCAGCTTCTGCAAGCAAATCTTTCGCCTCAGGGTTAGGCCATGGGATGAAAGGCACGCTTGTCGCACCTGTGCTAGCAAGGCGCCAATACACACCGTGATCGGTCAAGACTATAAGGTGCGTTCTGGCTAGGATAGCGGCCAAATCTGCCTTGTCCTCAACGCCAGCAAAAGAAGGAGCGACAAGGTCGAGGAAGTCTTTGTGCTCTATCTTCTGCTTTCCTGAGGCTTGCATGCCCTTCACCAAGTCTTCTTCAATCTGCATGTTGTACGGATTGTTGCAAGCATGCCGACCGGCTCCTTGGTCAAATTGCGCAGATGAATATCTGGCCCAGACGGTAGCATCCTCTTCCTGAGGCAAAGATGTAAATCTGCATCTAGAAACATCAATATATTGATAAAACTTTCGAAAACTATGTATTTGTTTGTACAGATACAGTTACCCCAAGTGTAATTATATTTTGAATTATTTTGACATAGAGATACACAAGTGAAACGTAAAAAGATAACCACAAACATATCTCTGTCGGCGAGGAGCAGACGGGTTGAGGAACGCTTTGAGGAATGAGGCATCCATTTTCTGAAGCAGACCATCATCAAAGACGCCCGGCTTGAATTTGGTGATCGGCTCCGCTTTGAAGAAGTCCAAATGCTTCGCTGTGACGATGCCCGGGACAAGATCTGTGCGTCCAGCTTGCTCAATTTCAAACCTCGACTGAGCAAAGAGGACTGTCTTGGAGCCCAAAGATTTGCCAACCCTTGTGCGGCCAATCCATGTGATAGAATGCTGCCGCATGCTTGGCAACATGTGCACGAGGATGTCGTCAAGGAACCAAGGAACAAAGCTCTTCAAAGTAAAAGGCCAATACTCAATGGTTTTGGCATTTTGTCTACCTTTGTAGTAGTTCAGCAAAGCCGTGGTAACCTTCCCCTCATTCCAACCTTCAAGAGGACCCCCGGGTTGATGTACTTGTTCATCGGTCCATTCCATAAATTGGTTCCGGTTGTTGGAGCGTGGTCCATGATCACGAATGAAGCGATAGCCATTCTCACGGGCTTGCTGATCAATGGTCATCTTCTTCTCGAACTTTGGTTTGATGATCCAAAGGCGCAATTGCATCCCACCCATGCGATCAAGCATATAATTGAAAGCAGACAGGCCTAAACGCACCTGCTGGCCCCAATCGAAACGGAAAGGATGACCATGACAAGAATTCATGCAATCCTTGGAGAAGACTTTATTCTTATGCAAGTAGATGTGCTTGAAGATGTCCACAAACTTCTCATCAGGATTAGGAGGATCAGCGGCTGGCAAGATGACTATCTGCATGCTATAGGGGACTTTCGGCTCTTCTTTCATGTTGAACGGAGGTGGAAGTTCACTGTACTTCTCCTGCGCACACAGTCGGTAGAGAGTGTTGTCCAAAAAGTCCTGCGTCACATTGAGCTTGTGATTGACAATCACATCAGCATACTGTTCGACTTTGTGGCCCATACTGTCCATGTTGCGAAGAGGCAAGTCACCGATCGTCACATCGCCCACAGGACGATCAGACTTCAAAGGCCTGCGTTCGGGACCAATAAGCTTTTGGCCATTGACTTGGACTACTGCTTCGGCAAATGTGAGTTTCCCGTCTTGGTCTCCAAGGTCTCTGTTGAAACCATCCCCTGCACCAAGCTGAAGTGCCATGGTAGGTGACAATGAGCACAAAGAAGACGTCAGGAAGCGGATGAGAGCAAATCAGATTTGAGAGCAAAATCTAGCAGTGGAAGAATCAAATGACATGGAAGTGACATCAACTACTGCAGGGACATGCGTGAAAAATACCTTCAATGACAGAAGCCAGCAAATGAAGATCTTTTGTGAAACATTGCTCAGAAGTTGCATATTCAATTCTGACGTTCCAAGGAGATGAGATGTAGAGGTTCAGAATGCAGCAGATAAGAGGATGACCTGTCAGGAGTTCCAGATGCGTTGATAAGTGCATTTCTCCCAAGGAGAAAACAACACTCAAGAAAATAGAGAAGTCTGCAGAGGACCAAAAAAA